CTGCGGCGACGACTACTACTACCAGTACCACTACTACTGCTACTGCTACTGCTACTGCTACTGCTACTGCTACTGCTACTGCTACTGCTACTGCTGCTGCTGCTACTACTACGGCTGGTGCTATACAATTGCTACTGCCATTACGACTGCCTCCCCCATTGCTGCTGGCACCAGCATCATCCCCAAGACAAAGACACATGCGATCGGTGCCACAGCCACCACACACCGCCACAAACGCTTCCGTTTGGCTGTTGCAGCCATCGACCTCTTGTGTTTGCGACGCTGTGTTTTGGCCTTGCCCAAATCTCGGAAGAGCCTCTCCCAGGATGCCCAAGGACTACAATCCCGAGGCCTTGAGGGCATGGGTACGCCATGTAAATCGTGTCGTGAATAGACACATCTGTAGTACTGGACACTGTACTTCGATGAAGCACCTCTCACGTGAAGGTGGCGGATGTGACGCAGGGGCGCGAACTGATCTACAGGACCCGGTGTGAATGCATACGGTAGAAGCGTTTTTTTGAAACATTTGGTCAACAGTTCCCGAACTCGTTCCAAATAGGGCAGACACTGAAGGCTTAGACCACGGCTATGGAATGGTATGGAGTGCTTCAGCGTAAAGGGACGATGACCGCGAGGCCGGCCCAAGCGGTGCGGGACCCCTCCGGCTCGGAAGGATCCGCAAAGCACCGAGAGCTCCCCCGCAACCGGGCATCGGAACTTGACGAACTGTGCTCCCGCAGCACAGTGCCATGTGGAGATTTTTGGGGTTGAGAATCGCGCTCTGCCACACTCTTCAAAGCCGCTACAGTCATAACGGACTCCTCGGGGCTCGAAATCATGCGAAAATCGTGCTCCCGGCAACAATGCCCGTCAGTGCCGGGGCTCCGGGAACGGCTTTTGGGTGTGTGCAACTAAATCGCGCATAGGAAGGGTGCTTCTTCAGTGTTCGAGGTCTACGCTGGCATAATGCAAAAGCAGATCCAAAGATGCGACTGCTGTTGAGGACATATGCCACGCGCTTGATGCTGGTGGTGCTCTGCCTGGAGGCATCGGAAGACTCCACGGACCCACTTCGCACACCATGTCCTTTGCTTGCGTCAGTTGACGGACGTCATCTTCGCTGTCCGCGGCTTAAGCATGCTCGCCCTGCTGCAGCTTTTCTGTTTTCCTCGTTTCTGGTGCATCACAGCTTGGAGCCACTGGAGGTGGACTCCATCTCGGCCATTGTTGCACAGATTCCTGACCTCTTTCTCGTGCCCGCCCAAGTGGCGCTGGCCAAGTGCGTGTGGCGAGCATTTTTTCTCATTTCGCTTGCAGAATTCTCAAGCCCCATACCCTGAAGCGGACACCCTGAGCCCTCTAGACTAGTCCTACTCAGGCCTACACCGCGTGCGTCTTTGCGATGCTAGGCGCTTTCCCTGTTTGAGCCAAACAGCCGCCCCTAAGGACTGCGGGGGTCAGGGTGTCGGTCGCGGGTATGTAGGATTTGTGGTCTTAGGCTCAGCGGTACGTTTAGAGGGCCAGAGAATCGAAATCCTGAAACCTCCCAGTCAAGAGCAGTCTTAGTTCCGGAGGCTTCATCCTTCTGCTGTCTAAGCGTTCCAACCCTTGCCTTGTCCCTGATTTTCCCACCGCATAAACCTAAGCCGAGAGATCCATATAACCTTCGCAAGTGCAACAGCATATTACTTACGCAGGTGAGCTCGAAGCTCTTTCGGCAGACTCCGAGTCCGCTCTATTCCACAGGCCTTCGGGCGACGTTCTTCGCCGTGGATGAGCTGGTGAAGCTCTTTACCCTCCTGCACGCACCCCGGAAAGGAGGGTTTTCCTGTGATTCCGTTGGCAGGAGTGTACCGTGAAACCCCCGAAAACCCAAGCCCCCCATATGAACCAGATATGAACCCTTACACCCCAAATCGGACTCGGAGCTTTGCCGGAGGCCCTACGCGGTTTCCGTGATCTTGATCTTCATCGGGGCCAAGTTGGTGCCGCATTGGGAGCGAGGGTTTTTGGATAGTTTCAATCCTGGGCTTCGCTGAGAGCTCTCCGAGTTTCGAGGTACTGCGTGGTGTAATCCACATCCCGGCACAGGACGGGCTGCTCAAGACGATGGAATCACGGGTGTTTAGGGGCCCTCAGTCGCACAGCCATGGGTAGACATCTGCAGGTCGTGTGCATGACCCTCTTTACGGTGCTGCTGGTCAGTCCGGACCTCAGGCAACAAAAATCCGGAAATGAAAAAAACACAAAGAGCAGAATAGAGTGTGTGATATGTGTGTGTGTGTGTGTTTCGGTTTAACGTGCTTTCCACAGCCTCCTCCATTGCCTTTTTTGTTTGAGGTATCCTGGCCTCCGTGGTCTACGACCGCTTTCGTCCAAAGGCCCGGGTGCTCAGTGGGCGAGACTCAGTCGGAGACTCTGTTTCAGTTGTTTTCCTTCCCTTCGCTGCGGCCGCTCTGAAAGGACGACGAGGAGGGCAAGGTGCCTTCGGCTGCAGCTTGCACGTGGTTTCTTCGGTGATTTTCCTGTTTCAGGCCAAGCTGAGGGTCGGCGTTGTTTTTTTTGGTTCTGGCATTGGGGGAAATCCTCTTGGTGTCGCAGCCCTCTTGGAGCCCCCTACAGTAGCCTTAGCCCCAGGCGAAGGACTACATCTCCCCGCTCGCTGCCGGCAACGCCGGCAACGCGAGCTTCTTCCCTCAAAAGGCGCTGTTGCTCCCTTTTTTCTGTGCCTCCCCGGACTTTCCAAAAGCTCAAGTCAGGCTTTCCTGCAGCCTCTCCATGTCAGAGCATACTCGAGGGTCTATCTTGCCCATGTTCTAGAGCTCCTCAAGCAAGGTCCGTGCAGTAGTCGCTCGAACAAGGATCGGTTTGCATGCTCGTCCGGGCCAGGCAGAGGACACGGATGCCTCCTGATTCTGAGCAGAGCGCTCAGCCCGCACCCGCAGGGCGAAGTCTCCGTTTCACTTCGCTCGCTGAAAAGCTCGCGTGCCAATTCCATTGCGGTTAGCGGTTAGCGACTCCCGGTGGAGACACGGCGGATTTTCAGGGGTTGCTGGCTTCCAGGAGCTTTGAACGAAAAGGCCACTGTGTAATTACTCTTGGCAAATGTTCAAGCCATACTGCAGTGGCGGCGCAACACGGCAGCTGCTTCACGAGGTCCCGTACATTCATGTACATGCCATGTCAATGTCATTCAATGTCAACGGGCAATGGATCCGGCACCTCGAGTTTTGATAGAGGACGCGCAGCTCTTGGTGCCAAGCAGCTTGGACAGTTGCATGTTCCGGTGCAGTTCAGATCCCCAACCCAAGTTGCATCATGTTGCATCGGTAGTCTTCTTGGCTGGTCGTGTGTGTGTGTGTGTGTGTAAAGGCAGTTGAAGGGATGCTCTTGCCGGGTCCCGTGCTTCCAGTGCTTGTTGTGGGAGTTGCGGCATGTTGCGGCAAGGTAGCTCCGCTGGCGATAGCATCTTCGCGCGAAATGCTCTACTTGGCACGCTGAGAGATGGGGCCAGGTGGCCAGAAGCTCTTTCCGTGGCCCGAGGGGTCGAGGCTGATCGCTTGCAGCCGACAGTGGTGACGTTTGGTGCCACGGCCAAGGGAATAGCCAGCTTAACTTTTTTGCTTTGTCGTGGGAGGGCATGCTCGGTATGCTTGGTATGATTATGATTGGCTTGTCCCCCAATCTTCTTCCTGCTGAGGCGCCGCCGCGACTGCATGTGAGAGGGGCCAGCAGTGGCACTGGGCGCTTACTTTGTTCGAAGCCGTGGCAGGGGCCCACTTGCAAGCTGATGCCTTGACGTACAGCGGGGCGATCGTGGCGCATAGAGTGCAGATGCAATGGGGCAAGGCCCTGTCTCTGATGTCTCAGATGGATAGGAACCAGGTGAAACGGAACCTCTTCACGTATACGGGTGCCCTCAGTGTGATCGATTCTGCATGCGGCTCTGCAAGTGCAAGCGCTGAACTCTGGCAGAGGGCGTTGTCCGCGTTTTCGAAGGCATGTTTGGAGCGAGTCGATGCAGATCAGGCTATGTACGGGACAGTCCTTGGCTCCTGCCGAAAAGCCGGGCAGTGGCAGCAAGCCCTCGGATGTCTCAATGCAGGTCTTGATCAAAGGAGGCTTGCGGCGATCTGCTACAATCTGGCTCTTGGGTGCTGCGCCGACCTGAAGCAGTGGCAGGCCGCTTTGTCAGTACTGGCGCTCATGCAGTCGACCCTCGGCACATGAGGGCATTTTGGTCCTGGAGCCTGGGGTCAGACTTCGAGCCAAGACTTTCAGAACTCTCAGAACAAAAATTTAACGAGTCTTCGAGGAATGGCGTGGAGCCCACGGTCCTTTCCTTCACTGCAGCTCTGGGCGCGTGCAGCGAGTGGGAGCAGGCGTCACAAAGAAAGAGTTAAAGAGAGCAGGGGCGCAGGTCCCCAACAAATCCGAGAGAAGCGGGGCCCGGCCAAGCTCCTGAGGCGGTGGGATTGCTGGCGGAGGCTTGGAGATGCCGCCTGGAGCCAGATGAACGTTTGCCGCTTGGTTGTGGCGCACTGAATTAAGGGGCCCCGCGCCGAGAGCAGAGCTGAAGAGAGCTGAGCTGCCCCTCGAAGCCTGAGCAAAGCCTGAAATCAGCAAAAAGAGTGTGAGCTCTGCTTCCAGGTACAAGGCTTTGGTTTGGGCCTGCCGTGACGATTATGGGGTGCAGCAACTGCTTCGCAAGGAGGCTGTGGCCAAGGGCCTGGACCTGGGTGCTGAGGAAACCCAGATGCTACAGAAGATTCAAGGGTGGCTCGGCAGCATCGCAATTTCCAGAACGTGTCTTGCTCGCGTTTCCGATTTCCCGGAGGCAGCCGTTGGCCGGAGAGGCCCAGTATGGGGCCGTTCTGCGCTCCCTCCAGGGTGCTGGAGACTGGCAGCAGGCTCGGGCAGCCGTCGAAATCACGGTTGCGACGTCGTCGAAATTGTCAGGGCTGCGCCTTTTTTGCTTCTCCGACACTAGCAGCGGGCTCTCCATCGCTCCTGGAAGTTGTGTCAGTTTCAGTCTCGAGCACTGCACGTCCTAGCCCCAAGCGCCAGATCCGCTTCACAGCCTCAGACACGAGCCGTGAAACTCGAGCCACAGACCCGGCAACGCTCACGAGTGCACCCTGGGTCAGGTGCAGGGTCCTCGGGTTCAAATGTGTTGATCCAAGTAGCTTTGACCCGGTTTCTTTTACACTGGTTGCTCGTTGAGCGATGTTGGGTCTTGTTGGCTTAGGCCTCTTCGGGTCATCCGGATCATCAGGGTGTGGGGTTTGGATTTTGGGTATCTAGTGTCATTGGGGTTACTGGGTGCAAAGTGCAGCACCATGCGCAGTGTTGCTATCCGCTTAAATATGAAGTTTCGGGCTACAGAATTCGAACGAACATCCATTGTTTGGCTGGCCACAGTTCAGCGTGAACTTGTTTTGGCCGGCCAACTGCTTTTTTTGCTTTAGTTTCACTAGTTACCCTCCTGCAAGTAGTCAAGCTAGGATTAATTAAGAAGCTTGTTATGAGAGGCTTGAGGCTATCTCCGAAAAGGATGTTGACGCCTTTTTCAGTCTTCTGACGTTGAAGGCTGGTGTCGTTTTGAGGTCCTAGGCTGTCTTGGAAGAATACTAAGATCAACCCTTGTTTTTGGGATTGTGTTAAGGTTGGCTCTGAGGAGACAAGAATGTTTCTTGTTGGGATTAGTTTTATGGGGTCGTAGGCTAGCTTTGAAGAGGGTTGTTAAGTTTCTTGAAAGGGGATTGTATGAGGTCTGAAGATGTCTGAAGCTGGCTTCAAAAAGGATTTTGAAACTTCTCCTTGTATCAGGTCTGAGAGCCACCCTCCCAAACAACTAGTTGGCCTCACCCTATATGTGAGTACCGAACGTTGGCATCCTTAAAGCACCAAGGTCTGACGTGCAGGGTTCCCAGGCAACGTGCCCCCAACAGATACGCCCAAAAGACTGGATTGTGGTGAAAGTCATACTCGTACCCCGGTGTCGTGCACAAACTCTTGCGCTTGTAGTCTTAGTTGTAGCATTTGTGTTGGCCCGGACACGGCTGAATCAGTACAGAACTTTTCCCATCTGGGAACAGGTTGGGGTCCTCTTCCCTCAGAAGAGTAGGGAACACGCCGGGGGCGGATGGGCGGCACTCGGGCACACGCTTGCCTGATGAAGGTTGTGTGCGTGGCTTGCGCGAGATGGGTGGCGCATGGGATGGGTGGCATGCGCGCATGCGCGTTGCTGGCCTGCGTCGCTCGGGACCTGTTTGTGCTGGTGGTATCGAGGGCCAAGCTAGAAACTTATTGAAGCCAGATCCGGCCCAAGCCCTAACTGGGCCAAACTTGGAACTCCCGGATCCGTACACCTTGCCCACTTTCCCTGGCCAAACTTCAAATCAACTCCACCCTGTGACATCGCTCCCTTCTGACAGGGAAATCGGTTCCTGACTTTGCACGGAAAGGGTTTGAGGCTGAGCGTTAAAATGAATACTAACCTTCATTTCTTGCCGCTGGAGGCACTGGCTCTTTTCTCGGCGGTGGAAGCGAAGGGCACCCAGGTTGACCTTGCCTTCTATTCCACGTTGCTGCGGGTGTGCCGAAAAGGAGCCCAAGATCAGAGGGAAAGAGGGCAAAAACCCTAGCCAGAAACATGCCATGCACCCACGAAAATGCCCCAATCTGGCGTTCGGACGTTTTTGTGACACTTGCAGCCTAAAACAAGCCAATGCACCTTAAGGCTCCTAAACTGAATCCTAACCCTTTCACAGCACGATTCTAAGCCCCGAGAAGGCTCCCCCTTGGGACCGCCAGAACCCCGCAGAAACAACACAACAGAAGACAACCGTGGCGCTGACCAGTGTTGAAAAAGTCCCCATAAAAAAATAGACCATCGTAGAATCATGGGGACCGCGGCCTTGCGCCGTTTCCGAGCCAGGAGCCGCTTGGAGCGCTGCCCTTCGCTTCTTCGAGGAAGCCAGGGCGGTCTTAGCTGCCCAGGAGCAGCTTCCAGCATCTTGGGCTCCTTTTTAAAGGTGCACCGCGGGGGGGGGGGGGGGGGGGGTTCCGAGCGGGCTTATCGGGCGTAGGACATCTTGTGCGGCGCGTCTCAGGACATCGGGATGCACCTCTCGGCTTTCTATGCCTGTGCTGCCTGCAAAGAGGATCGCTCCACACTCGCTTTGCTCCTCGGCAGCTCGCTTCGTGTTCAACAACCATCGGTGCATGTCCCATCGGGCCAACATTGCTGAACATGCCAGCAGGTTCAAGTCGATGCAGGGCGCAGGCCAGCGGCAGCAGTTTTAAGTCTTTAGCCCTTGATGCTCTGGGACCCCTCATCCCAGAAACCTTTCCTCACCGAATCTTCTTGAATCTTGAGCAGGCTTTTCGCCACCACGCGAAGCTTTCGAGGCAGCAATCGCGGCCGCGATCATGACCGATTGGGTGGATGCTCTCGAGTAGCCTGGCCGCCAAACCCTTAGGCCCTAGGCTCTTGAAAGCCGAAGCCTTGAACCTCGAGGTTGCTCGTGGAGGGCCTGCAGAAGTCCGTGCCACTGAAGCCGGAAGCAGGCGAAGCCGTGATGGAGCTCCTTGCGACACTCGGCAGAGCATTGTTGGCTGCGAGCGACAGGAGCAGTAGCTGCTATGTAGACATAGCAGACACGGCAGAGCATTGTCGCAGTGCTCTTGAAACGCCAAAGGCGAGAAGCGCAATGGGAAGCAGCTCTGCAGCTGCTGGCGATCGGGGCGAGCTCGCTTCAACGCACGGAGCGGCTCCTCACTGCAGCCATGTTTGCTTGCCGGAAGCGCCGGAAGTGGTGGCTTGTCCTAGGCAGGAGACCACACTTCAGGGCAACTGAGGCGGCTTTGAACTAATTCAGGGATGAAGGGACACCATTTTGAGCAAACTCTGTACTCGCGGTTCTGACCCGACACCAGATCCCAGATGTCACGGAGGCCTCCTGACGCAAGCACGGGAGCGCCGGACCCTCGGTCACCTTGGGATGCGGCTCGTCCTGACTTTTCCTGCGCCCCCGTCCGTGTCGCTCGACGGAGGAACGGAGGAACGTTTTGGAGGTTTGGGTTGAAAGCCGAGAGCCGAGGTACCACCATGCCTTGGGCGCATGCTCCCGCAGTCAGGTGCGAGTCCCAAGCCCACTGCCACACCAAGCCCTTAAAAGCCCTTAAAAGCCCTCAGAGTCTCAGAGTTTCTCGAGTCCTTGTGGGAGGTCTGGCAGCAGGCCTTGGCCGTCTGGGCCCAGATGGAGCTCTTGGACTTGCCAACGGACAAAAGCTATGCCTTGCTCATCGACGCAGTGCGACTTCGACAAAAGCACCTGGTGCCTTTCTTTATCAAAAAGGCTGAAAGCAAGGGACTTCGACTGAGCAGAAGTGTCTACTGCGAAGCTGTTTGCACGCAGCAAAGAGCTTCGCAGTGGCAGCAGATGGTCCTCTTGCTTTCTAGCATGGAGGCAATGCAAGTGGTGCCGGATGCCGAGATGTGTGAGATAGCACTGCGGCCTTTTGGGAAAATGGCTTTCCGCGCGTGGGAGTATGGCGTCGCCCTGCTTCGGCGGGCCGAGCAGCAGGACGTGCATCTCGACGGAGCCGCCTACGGGCACCTGGTTCGCGCTTGCAAGAAATCGCAGATCTGGTCGCAAGCGAGCCTGCTGCTGATTTCGAGACTTGTCCAAGTCGGAACGTTTTGGCTATGTGAGAGTACATAGAGTACAGCCTTCAGAGCCTCCTTTGGAAGCCTTCGCCTGCCAGGAAGGCTCGGAACTCGGCGACCTGGGAGGAAGCCGTCGAGACCCTCACAGCCGCGACCTTCGCGCTGGCGGAGGCCTTGGCTGTCTACTCCCGCACGACTTGAGCGTGAGATTACGCATCTCATGTTGCACTCTTCTGTCCTTGGCTAGTGCCTAGCGCAGCGGCATCGCGCGGCCGCAGGATGGTCTGACCTCGGCCTCGGCCTGGCACTGTGCTGTGTGGGCCTTGCCCGGGCCAGGGTCTCCCGGGCCTCTCTGCGAAGCCGCCCTCCGTCACCCGGCCGGCACAAAAAGGGTCCTATCCCTCTGAAGACAGGCATGTGATCTCTAGTGGCGACAGCTTTCGAGCTTGGACTTCTGCGCTGCGCATGACAGAGCAGATGATGCCAGAAGCAAACCAGAAGCAAGCCAGTGTAGAAGGAGCGGCTTTTCATATTGAAGGTCTACGAGGGTTGCAATGAGGTCAGCATGTCATGAGTGCAAGTTATGTGTTCCTTAGGGATCTGTGCGGCTGCTGGTGAGTGGCAGCAGGCCGGACATCGCCGGGAGTTGCACTTGTGAGCATAGGGGGTTCTTTACCGTGAAGCCTCAGTGAGGTGCATCCGGTTGCCCCCCTCACTTTCTTCCGCCTTCTCCGACCCGGCCAGGCTGTGGCCGCTTTCGCCTGGATAGATGAGCCCATGCGCTTTCGAGCTCCTGGACTCATATAGGACGACGATCACCCCAATTTCCCATCAGCCTACTGCAAGTATTGCCGACTGCCACTGCTGCGACCATCGTTATCATCACTGTCGTCACTACTATCACAATCATCACCACCAGCACTATCAGCAGTATCAGCCAGCACTACCATACTAAAATCACCATCACTGGTGTTTGTATGATGCTGATGATTGGTGCTTTGGTGGTTTGTTGCACATCTTCATCGTGGGCTGTGCTAGGCACCGTGCCCAGGACCCTTCCTATGCTGCTCCAGTGGTCCAGGCTTGCCAGGACTGGACTTTCTGAGGTTCTTTTTGCGTTTTGGTCTGAGAGGAGATCACCATGATGTAGAGAAAGCCGCCCCAGTTTGGAGCAGCCCCCACGTCTTTGAAAGACCTCAAGGCTCCTGCTAGTTGCGTGCCGCCAGAACAAGTTTGAGCATCTGGAATTACGCCACCCCCGCGAAAAAAAAGCAGCGTCAGCTTCTCCAAACTCTGAAATCCGAAAATCCACATGGATGCTAAGCCCTGCTAAGCATGCGCAGCCAACCAAAGAAGCTTGGCGAAAAGCCGAGCACCTTGCAGGCCTAAAGCTCCAGAAGGTGTGCTTGGATCTGAGCCATTCTGAGAAACCCGAATGAAGTGCTAGGGCCACCGCATGGACACTTGCTCCCTGCAGGATGCTCTGGAGTGGCAGCAGGCCCTGTCTCTTCTGAGCCAGGCTCGGACAGAGGACTTCCACTTGGTGTGCTGCTTCGAGACTTCGGTACAAGTGCCCGTCCTGTGGTGTATGGAGAACGCTGCAGGCCCAGAGAAACAGCTTGGAGCTGGGCCTCATGGACCTGGGCATTGCCTTCTGAGTGGAGGATGCCGGGTAGTCAAACTTGGGGCCTCGTGGCATCATCATCCTTATGGTTGAGCGGCCTATTCAGTAGGAGTGACGAACCAATGCCAACGGCTTCCAACCGGCTACACCGCGCCTTTGCCGAAGCTGCCCCACGTCTTCAAAGAGTGCGGCGTGCTCCCAATCGCTCCGAAGGAAGAGTGTACAACAGCACAAAAACGATGAAGCCAGCATGAAAGCAACGATTCTTGTTACGAGACATGAGTAAGAATATGACAGAAATTGTACTTAGCAAGAACAACGAGCTGAGCATCTGGAATCATAAGGTCAGCAGTCGTGGCAATACAGTTGTTTCCATCGTGATCGCCGTCGTCTTGATGCATATAATCCTGCCTTCATGTGTATATATATATATATATGTATGTATGTAGAAAGAGATCTAGATATATACTTTTGTGTAAATGTATACAGATATACATAGAGCAGCAGATTAGTTAGTATTCAACAGACGTGACAGGTGGTCCCACACTGCGACGCCCCAAACTCTAAACCCTGAAATGGTCATGTTGACATCGGTCCGTGCACTCCTGTGATGCTTGGAGACCGGCGCAACGCGCACTGACTCAGAGTTGCTGGCCCAGGTGCCAGTGTTCAAGAGACACCGGACAAAAAGTTGTTCAAGAGTTCGGGGGTCTTACCAGGCCTCTGATCTAAGGGACAGGCTTGCCTTCTTAATCAGGGGCTCTGTCTTGAGAATCTCCTGTTGTGCGATGCCAATTCGTGGAGAGCGCTTGAGGCACGTCAGGCGTAAGAAAGCGCCACTGCTTTGTAGAAGGACTTCTGCCATCTTCGGAGCATGCCGACCTTGGGATTCCTTGCCATGGCAGTTCATGCTTTAGGTTTCAAGATGGTTCAACACGGCTCAAGTATCATTCCAGCAAATGAACCTCAGCAAGCAGCCCTAGAGCCCTTTTAAGCCTGTTGTAAACCTTGGATGTTCTTTGAGCAACACCGGAAACGGCCCAACCCCAAGACCCAAAGCCCCAGAACTCAAACAAGCTTCTTAAGCCCAGGCTGGGGGCCGGGCTTTGTAGAGGATGTCAGCGGATATCACGGGTAGTGGCAGAGCCCTTTAATTCGAGTCTTGCAGAGTCTGAGAGGTCTGATTAAGAGGTACATCTCATGCTTCCAGGATTTGGGGATCATGACATCCTGGCGCTCTGGCTCAAGCTCTCGTGATTGTTCCTGAAGGAAACCAGAGCCTCTGTGACGCTATGACCAACAGTGCGGGCAAGACGATCGAGGGCTACTTCGCCCTGTTCCGTCGCCAGGCGTTCGTGGACTTGGCGTTCGTTTTGATAGTCCTTCCTGGCAATTGGCTCCTGGGCACGGATGACTTAAACTTAACGTGGATTCTGGGGGTCTACGTGGTCCTCATCTGGTTCTGTGACGCGGCGCTGGTGCTGCATTTCAGCAGTCGTGTTCGCGAGGCTTCCACCGGGAATTCCATAAGCCAAGACCACATGAACGGCCTCATCCAAAGGAAGCGAATTCTCGTTGCGGTCTCCTTATCGGGACTTATCGTCTAGGTGGCTCGATTCTGCGTGGAGCTGTCGGTGATGAGTGCGCACGGGATGCTGGAGAAAATCTATGTTCCCACCACCCTGGTGCTGGTGGTGGTGGTGATAAAGGTACTTCGGCTGCTGGCACTGAACTCTTTCAGCAATTGGGTCCGCCTGCACGGCCAGCGCCTGTCAGCATCAACAAGTGCTCCCAGCGCCTGACTTGTCCCCGCCACACCAGGAAAGATCTCGCGAAAAGAGAGCGAGAGACCCGTCGGTTAGCAGATTCCCTAAACCGATGCTGCCTATCCTTGGGTCTGTGCGCAGGAGCTGGCGAGCGAGTGAGCTCGCCAGATCCATGGGGCTGAAGACAAGGCTGGATATGCTGCACAACGAAAAGTAACACACAGAACGAATGACCTCTTGTCATCATATGTCGTCGTCATCTTCGCCGTCACATCATCGTCTTCAGGTTAGCAGCACCACCTTCAATATCAGCACCACGACGGTCATCATCGCCACCGTCATCGCCAGAGCCAGCAACAACACGATCAGCCGGATCACTCTCGCCGCTTCCATTAATCTGCATCTCCGTCTGTCGCCACCTCCGTCTTCCGATGTCATGATTATCATCGTCGCTTGCATCGCTATCATCAGCATCATCACCACGATGATGTTCATAAGCTTGTCATCGTGAGTATCGTCGTGGTTTCTGTGATGACTGTCGTCTTTCTCTTTCATCTACGTCAACATCGTCCTCGCGATTACCACAGCTACGCATCATTGCGGTGCTGCGGGCAATTTTCGTCACCTTGCCTTGACTCGCTACTGCTTCCGCTTTTGTTCTCCTAGCTTGTTGATACTTGTACATTCTTGACTTTCGGAAGCTTTCCACATCTCCAGAGCTCACGTGCTCCAGCCTTGCTGTGGGCCAGTGCAAATGCATCTCCTGCGGATCGAGGATGCTCATCGGGATAGTGGCCAAAGTTGGAGTCTCGTGGTATCACAATTATCATCGCCGTCCTCGTCGCTGAACGGAGCATTCCGTTAGAATGATGGTCGAAGCAATGCCAACGGCTTCTAGTCGGCTACATCACGCGTTGGCCGAAGCTGCCTCAAGTCTTCAGGTGCTCCCAACCGCTGGTGAGCAGTCGTGGCCGCGCTGTTGCGCTGTTGCCGCCGTCGAGGTCGCCTTCGTCATATTGTTCAACAGCACAGTTTGTAGTAGACACGTAGCAGGTGGTCCTACAGTTACACTGCCACACCCCAAAGACATTAAGTGGTTGTGTTGGCATCGGTCTTTGCACTCCTGTGATGCTTGGAGACGGGCGCAACGTGCACTGATTCAGAGTTGCTGGCCAAGGTGCCAGTATTGAAAAGACACCAGACAGGGGAGTTCTTCGAGATTTTAGGGGCCCATCGTCTTAATCGATGTCTCCGTTTTGAGAATCTCCCATCTGTTGTCCGATGCCAAGTCGTCAACCTTTGAGGCAAGTCAGGCGTGAGAGAAAAGCAACATGGAGTCATGGAACTGGCTGCCTGACTGCTGTGGCGAAGGACCTCTGCTATCTTCTGAGCCTGCCGAGAAGCATGACGGTACGATGTTGCTGGCCGCATTTCTAGGCCCAATCCACTTGCCACGGCTTCAGACCTGCGTCCGCCATGTCGCTGCTGTTTGCAGCGTTCGTGAGGGCGCTGCACACCGCCGTGGATGAGGACGCGGCGCAGACACATCCACTTTCTTGAAGGCACCCTGAAGAGACGGAACCTGGAGCCCTGAGGCCATCCAAAGGCGATCCCTCCAAGACGAGCTCGTCGAGGAGCTGTTCTCAGCGTGGGACTGCAGGTGCTGGGCAGCGGCGGCCTTAGCGACCGTTTGGACTTGGCCTGTTTTTGCTATGACGAGATCTCACATGACCATGAGGGGTCCACGAGGCCGACTTGCTGTCATGGACTACAGTGGCTGCAGCTGTCCTCCTGTTGCTCTTACTATTTTCCGGTTCGGTGGGCTGTGCGAGCTTGTCCTGAGGCAAAGAAGCTGGACAAACACGAATTCGTTTTGTGATGGAAGGTTGGCATGAGTTGCGAGGGCGAGGGATAGTGTATTAAGGCTCTTTCTCTGCCCTGTCTCTGTGGCAGGTCGAACTCGCCGCTCCAGCGATTTCAGCAGGCGATCCGAAGAGCCGAAGTTGTTCCCGCAAAGCTAGGATAAGACTTGGATCCCCGACCGTCAACCCTAATCGGCCCCAAACCCGAATCGATAATTCGCCCAGCTGCAGTCACTCTCAAATTCGTGCAACAGAAGACTGCTCTTCGGAAGCTTCAAGTCGAGTGTTGTAGCCAAATACGAAGGTCGCCAGATTGCAGGTTCATGGGACTTGGCAAGTAGTTCCTCTCGGGGTCTCGGGTTTAGGGCCTGTTCTGGGTCTAGACCCTAGACATTCACCCTTACCGCTGCAGAACTGCGGGCTACGTCGGGTGCCTGAGAGCATTCGGTTAGAGTCACGAATTCTCACTGCCAGGCAGATCACTTCAGCAACGCAACATCGCTGCCGCAGCTCCTCCTCAATAACATGTGCAAGCAAGAGGGCAATCTGCATGATGTCGGGCAAAATGAATACAACGGTTGCTTCAGAAAATAAACAATGAAGAACTCGACAGACTCAGCACTTGGTTGATGCCTTAAGCCTGCCAGAATCATTCTTGATCGGTGCATGCTCAGGATCGTGTATAACCGGTCCATCAGCGCATGCCGAAGATATGCAGGATGGGAGGATGCTCGCTCCCAATCTACAGAACGTGTCTTCTTGGAGGTGTCTTTGGGTTTATTGCGCACCCTTCCTCCGTTCCATCCGAGGAGGCGCTTCGGATCCTCCATGGACTCAGGTCTGTCTCGCTGCAGTGCGACCTTGTCGGCTCCTTGTCCTTGTGTCTCTTTTGTCTCTTTTTTTCCTCGGTTAAAGCGTTGAAAGATGTCGTCAAGAGAGGCTCCCGGGAAGCCGGCAAGCCGGGGAAGCCTTCAGCTTTCGAGGCTGCAGCTCCGCGATGAGCGTCTGCGATGCAGCTTCGCAGTGGCAGCGAGCCACGGCGCTGCTTGAGACGACAAAGGCCACTCTCGGGCCCCGAAGCTGAAACTTCAGTGCTGAAGCTCCTCGTCTCTCCTACAGAGAATCTCAGGCCGCCAGACGTGATCATGTACGGCGCAGAAATGAACGCCTGTCAAAAAGGCAGGCAGTGGCAGCGAGCCATCCGGTTGCTCAAGGACTGAATCCTGAGTGAACGATAGTGAGCATGCTGAAAGCAATCGTTGCAGGGCTGCCGGGTCCGCGCAAACTTCGTTGTAGGTTCGCTCGTCTTGTGTTTGCTCTCCGCCGAACAGTTGCGGTTTGGCTTCGCTCGCAGCTTTCGGAGGATCTGCGCCGCAGTTTGCGGGCGGACCTGGTAACGTTGAACACCGCGATGTGTGGCCCATCATCAGGCTGGATATGTTGTGGTGTCACATCACACATCGGCTAGGATTCTGTAAACTCTGTAGCTTGGTAGACTTGAATGCTTGCATATTTGCTCCGGCAGATTTCGTAGACAGAGCGAGAAGCGACACAACTCCATTACTCTTACCAGATCCGGCTCTACCGCTCTGAGGCGAGTGGCAAAACGCCACGCACCTGCTTGAGGAGGGTGCCACTTAACTGCGTGTGTTACGACAGATTTGACAGCTCTTGGGGTTCCAGTGCCAGCGCTTGCAGGACTCAGGCATAGTATGACGGGTTGCTTAATGAGCCATCCGGTCCCTACATCACTGTGCTTTTTGGGGCTGAGACCAGGGGAGATATGCATGCGAGAGAGCGCGAGTTGGCTCGGTCAAGGCCTCTTGGTCACTACAGCCGAGCATGGTCAGCTACAATGTCGCTATGCGAAGCCAGCTGGCTGCAAACATCTCTTGCTCAGTTCCCGCTGTAGCTTTCCTAAACCTTGTGCTTGAAAATCGTGCTAGGCAAAAGAGCCTCTGAATCCATGGTGTAAGTTGCAATGTTCGGCCACTTCAGCCATCGAGAAAGGGGTTGTCCTTCCACAAGGCACAGGCCCTGTACTTCGGCATTGTGCAGAGTCAGGAGCCTTCAAGTTCCAACAGCTTGCCCCAAAGCTGCCCCAAGGCCCTCACACTCTCCAAACACTTTCATGAGCCTACAACTTTAAGTAGCTCTTGGCTCCGCTGCCCCCATTTCAAACATTTCCTCTTCTCTTGCCCGAAGGTTCGAGCTGGAGGAGGGCCGCAGAATTTCTGATGGCGGCCGGAAGGAACAAGTTGCGATCCACGGTGGCTTGCGAAGAGGGCATCGGGGTTTTATGGGCTTGTAGAATGTGACTAGGGGGGTTTAGGGAAGTTTAGGGGATTGTGGGTTTATGTTGCAGTGCGGTTGGGGGCTTAAGCATTAGCGATTATAAGGCTTCTTGAGGCAGCTAGCCTTTCAGTTGGCTTCAGGTAGGGCCGAGCAGGTGCCCCGAAGTCTTTTCGTTGGGGCGTCCCAGTCCTATCTGAGGTAACCACCTGCGGCACGATGCTGTCGCGATGCGAGCTGCCCTGGGCGGCGGAGCTGGCTCCGCGGCTCTGAACGGATCCTCCGAGTACTGTAGCGGAGCGGGGGGTTGGGTGCTGTTTGCAGGTTCATCTGTCTCAGATGCAGTCCCAGCAGCTGGAGCGGGGCACTCAGTCTACTGCTCTTGGAGCCTCTGCCAGCCTTTGTGTTCCGATCCCAAGAAGAACTATCCCTTTTTCAGTTGAGGAAAGTTGTTGTTCCTCTTGTTACGGGGGGATTCTTCCCACTATGTCCCCCGAACCCTGAAGTCCTACTTTGTCGAGGCCGAACGTCATCACTTTGAGTTCGGTGCTCTCCGCTTTGGCCGTGGCGAGCTGGGAAACCTCTTTGGATCTCCTCGCCGAGGCCCAAAAGCGTGAGATGCAGCCCAACGACGCTTGGACGCGGTCGGTCTCTGCTCCGAAACGGGAGCTCGCAAGGGTCTTCTTGACAGGGTTTCAGAGTGGCGCGTTGACAGCACCTGGATGCCTGAGGAGTTTGCCTTGAGCGCGGCCACCAGCGGATGTGAGCAGAGCGCCGAGTGGGAGATCGCATCGCCTTTCGTCTTGCAATCAGTCCTAAAGCCTTCAGTTCCGAAAGCCCCGCCGGAATTCGTCGGCTCCAAGTCGAGAGCGTCCCGCGAGCGGCTTGTCCCGCTGAGGCACCTGCTGCGTGAAGTTGGCGTCGGATTGCAAGCGAGACTTGTCTCGCTTTCTCTGCAGCTGTGTGATTGCGAACTTGTATAATGATGCATTGGTGCCACTTGTCGCTGGTGACGGCAATGCCTCCCACTTTGCGCAGCTCCTTGGACAGCTTGCAAGGAGCCTGAGCTGGAATGCGGCAGCAAGCGCTGCGGCTACAGGCCAGATCAGACAGCGGGCAGAAGTCAAGTCCGCGTGGAATTCGCAGGCAGCGCTTGGGGACACGTGGTTGCCTTGTTGCGGACTCTGCCAACCCAGAGCCACTCCATCGCATTCTGTAAGGCCTGCTCACTGGGGTTGGTAGCATGTACTTAGCCGCACGATCCCCTTTGGATTCGTTTTGAGTTGGGCACTTGCGCTCCCGAGGTCTGCGGGCAGATCTCTTGACCATGAGTGCCGCCGTCAGTTCGATGGTCGGCCACAGGCAGTTCTACGGTTTTGGGAGCAGGGTTGCCCTTGCTAAGTACTGAAGCATCTGCAGGCGCTGGACATATGCCTTGTTCTTCTTGTGCGAGCACTCTGTGCTGTCCACAGAGTCCGATGCGGCCCGGCTCATGGCTAGGCACTTTTTCGCTGCAGGCTTGTCCTTCTAGTCCCGCTGCTTACAGCCACCCTCAGAAAGTGTCGGGTTCGTCTGTCCGGAATCGACCTTGGCGTCACGGTCGCGTGTTTCGCGGAGGTCGTGATCTACAGCGCAGGCATGACCAGCTGCGAGGAGTGCCAGGTGCCTTGGGCTGAGAGAAGAACAGCCTACATAGTTCTAGTGATTGTAGGGTTGGAAGTCCCGTAAGTCCCGTAAGTCCGGCTACTGGTAAATTCTACTTGGAGAACTCTAATGCATGTAGACACTGTAATCCATTTTCATGTCCAAGTACCCCGGACCCAGCCGACCTCTGGACTTCCCAGGAGTGGCGCTGGGCCCTGCAGCTTCTGAAGGCCTCAGACAAAGCTCTGGGGCGCCTCGGAAATGCAGATCGCGGGTCCCTTTGCGTGGGGTGTGGGGCAGAGACTATTTGTTCCGGAGCTTCGGGTTTCAGAGTATTCAGTCCTGCCAGGCAGTCTATATTTAGGTTTTGGTGTGAGTGAACACGAGTTCCTTCACGCAAACTCAAGACAATTTTCAATCTCAGGCCGGCCAACGACATCGCTTTCAATGCAGTCGTTGCCGCCTGCGAGCAAGGTGAGCGCGGGCACGCCAGTGAGAGCCAGAGTGAAAAAGCATGAGGTGATGGCAGTACCAGTTTCTGCAGAATCCTGCTCGTTGATTGCTATTATTACGCGAATGAAGCATGGAACCCTGAAGCCCTCAACCGTAAAGAACGAATGAAGGCTTGAGACTTTGCGTGAACAGAAGACGTGGCATGAGCACGTGGACCACATAGCAAATCGACCTTTGGCGCTTGCTTGTCAAACATTCGGCTCGCAGCTGTACCTCAATACTTTAAACTGAACTGCGCATGCGGCGCATCAACACCACGAATGCTCACGTGCTGAAGCTGCAACTGGCCTACAGAGTGCTCCCTTCATAAATGTTTGTTCCAGGCACAGAGAGCAAATGACAATATAGTTCAAAGGGCACGCACCTAAGCTATGTAGGGTTAAATGGCATGTACCTAAACTATATAGGGCCATAGGGTTTAGGGCCGGGTCTACAAGTGTAGACGGCGACGATTTTTGACAAGTCTCCGCCATGGAGCAGTTGGTTGAGAGGTGCGGCATCTGTGAAGTTTCTACGTTTGGAATGCTGCAGGTGGCTACCATGGTCCCGCAACCCTAAGACCCAAGCATCCTTAATCCACGGGTCTGTATTTAGAGTTGACACCTCTGCAATTCGCCAAAGACTGGAACATGTTCGAGGTCTCGGTAGGTACATTTTCCAGGTGTTTAGGGTTTTACTGTTCATAATACGGCTATCTCGGTTTAGCTCGTTTGATTTCAATTGGCCGCAAGACTTGCACACTTATTTTTATCAAAGCACTTACTCACGCGCTCAATCGTGCTGACTTAGCGCGTGATGCATGCAAGGGCAGGAACGAAAGAAGGTTGTTATTCGACTCTAGATTTGAAGTCAGTCTCATCCGCCGCTCGATCCTCAGCACTTACAATCGACATGTTGAGCTCATTAAATGACCCTGAGTCTGGAGTTCTTTACAATCTTGAAAGAGGAATTAGAGCCATCCATGGCAGCTTGAACGATTGCATCCATGAAAAGTTAAAGAGCGAATTGAATGAGCTCCTGAACATCTGTAGGGCCCTAGTTACAATCAAAATATACGCCCTTCCAAGACCTTCAGTTCTTAATTCCAAAGGGAAACACAGCCCTCCATTGCAATGCGAAGGATTGCAAGGGCTGTAAACGACACGTAGTGACGGCACTTAATGTCGTCTGAATGAGTTTCATGTAGTAAAGTTCCCTAAGCAAGAGCTAACGACAACCCTCTCCGTGCTCTCGGCTTGTCGTGACCCTGGCACGTAGGGCGTCCCCGAAATTGTGGGTGCAAGCGACAACCCTCTCCGTTCTCGCAGCGTGTCGTAACGTTGGTACGTGGAGTGTCCTCGAAATTCTGGGCACAAGCGACAATCGTCTGCATGATCGCGGCGTGTGCGACGTGTTGTGATGCGGCATGGGGCGTCCTCGAAATGCTGGGCGCAATTGACAACCCTGTCCGCGTTCGCGTCGGGTGGTGACGCTGGCTCGTGGGACGTCCTCGAGCGCAAACGACAAGTGACGCTGACCCATGAGCGTCCTCGTACAGCAGTAGCAAGCACAGTCACATACAGTCACGATTTCAGCTAGGAATGGTTGACACGTCACGGTCGTGTGTAGCGTGTGATCTACGGCCAGGACATGACCTGCGAAGAGTGCCAGGTGCCTCGGGCTGCGAGTAGAAAAGCTTAACTCTTGTCTTGCATTGAGACTTTAATCTCCAAGTAGGACCCGGGACCCATCAGCCGACTTCTGGATCTGCTAGGAGTGGCGTGGGGGCCGGCAGCTTGAAAAGGCGTCCGACAAAGCTCTGGGACCCCTTCGGAAATGCCGATCGGGGGTTTGCGGAGGGTTGGGGGTTTGGGGTGTGGGGCAGTGACTATAGACAATAGGTCGTGTTTCAGGCATGCTGTCTGAGCAGTCTACAGGGTTTAGCGGTTCCGAGTTTTGGCGTCATCGAGCACCAGTACCTTCGCCGCAAATCCGAGATCATGCGCAATCTCAGGCCAGCCAACGCATCGCCGTCAACGCGGTCAAGGTGAGCGTAGGCATGCCCGCGAAAGCCAGAATGGAAAAGCATGAGGTGATTGCAGTACGAGTTTCTAGAGACAGTAGTTAGTATTAGGATCTGCTATGTGAAGGAGGATGCTTCGAGCATTAGAGCATAGTGAGATGCCACTCGGTGCTTCAATTGCTGCACTGTCGTCTCTAGCTCGATTCGCACGATGATCGCTACTTGGAGAGGAAGTATTGACGACGGAACGAGAAGCAGAAGATGTGTCCAAATCTCCCCCTCGCCAATTTCTCATGAATACTACTTCAATGGCGCACTGTGCCAGATCGATTGGTGCACGTGACCCTTGACATGGGAGATTCGGCGATTCGATACCGAAATCCCTTGGTGCGGTGCTGTATGGAAGTGTGCATGCATTTACCATGCATGCATGGGTGGATGCATGTATGTATGTGCGTAAGTTTAGAGGCACTGTGTTTAGACTTACGAAATGCATGTATATGTGTATGTGTACACACGGCAAGTCTGTGGGCAAGCAATTGCCGTTAACACATGTGCACGCCATTGTGTGCTGGCGCATGTCTGCTTTTGCCAACCCTGGTTGATCTCCCCTGCTGCGATCGGATGCTTGCTCAGCACGCTTTAAGCTGCGTGAAGTGCTGCGCCAAGAGTTAGTTCGAGTGCCATGGAGGCGGTGAAGAGGATGGTGGGAGGCTATGGCGAGGCAGCACTCAGCGAAGTTAAGGCTTGCTCAGACGAACACCCCGGCTGCCAAGAGCTGCAGACTCAGGCTCCCAATGCCATTGTGGAGCACCAGAAGTACGGCTTGGGCTTCTGCACCGTGCTGTCGTTCGCTGGTCGCACCACGAGTTTCTACCAGGCCCTGCGCGACATCGCTTATTATCTGCCGCCCAACGGAAAGTCATCAGTTGAGGCCATGCAGATGGTGACGGCGCAGCGCAAGTGGATGTTCGACGTGGGCTGCGCCGTCGGCCAAGTGGTGGGCACCTTCTACCAGCTCGAGAAGAACACTTTGATGGAGCTTCAGGTGATGTGGGAAACCGGTCAGGGTAATCTGACACTGAAGGGCATGAAGAAGAACTTCAGGGCTACGACCAAGAACCTGAAGATGCTCACGGAATATCGCGCCGCCGCCCAGCAGAAGATTGACGAGTGCAAGGACCTCGCAAACCAGATGGTGAAATGGCATGGCCAGGAGCAGAAGATGCAGCATGCAGTCATGGAGCTCATCGGGAACTTCGGGGGTGGCGCGCAGTGCGAAGCTTTGCTGGATGAGTTGCAGAAGCGCAGCGCTGAGCTGACGGCTGCCCAAGAGGAGGAGCGCAAAGCAGCCGAGTTTGTCGCCGAACTGACTGGCAAGAAGGAGGAGCTGCGCTGCAAGACCTTGGTCTACGAGAGCATCGCCGCTGACGAGGAGGGCTCCTTGTCCAGATTGCAGGAACGCGCAGCTGAGGCCGACAAGATCGCCAGCCAGAAATCTGCCGAAGCAGCCGAGACGGTAAACATTGCTTACAAGAAGAAGATTTGTCTCGGCAGATGGTACACCGACTGGGTGGACAATCGGGGCGACGTGGCCAAGTTTCGGGCTGAGCGCTTCAAGAGCATCGCCAAGGAGGCTCGTGCGGAGCTTGGGGATCAGACGCAGATGACACAGAAGGCTGCTGCAGAGGCAGCTGCAGCGAAAGGCGGACTCACGACAGTGGAGGAGCAGCTGAACTTGGCCAGGCAGACGCTAGGAGATGCAGCTGAGAAGACCATGGAAGCCAGAGCAAGCCTTGCAAATTTGAAGCAGCAGTGCCGGGAGTTGCGGGAGAAGTTCGGAGGCTTGGACCTTCAGCAGATAGGTTCCTTGCGGGACCACATGCAGAAGTTCCCCGAGCTCTTGGGCGCTCAAGGCATGGAGGATCACGGAATGTTTGCTTCCATGGAGGGGGCATTGAAGCAGCACGAGCGGCTCATGAATCGTATGGAGGAGTTCTTGGACGAGGAGGACGAGCAGGAGTGCAAGTGTATTTTGGACAGTTTGCGCCCCGTGATTTGCAAGGCCATCAACGATGCGCAGTTCTTCGCCGGGCAGCTCAAGCCACTGCAGGATGAAATCGTGACCCGTATGAAGGCTCTCCCACCGCCGGATGCCGATTGGAGCCCATCCCCCAAGCCCATCCAACAGCCTGAGCGGCCGGTTCCTGAGGTTCGTGAGGCAAACGATGATTGGAAGGTGGTGACCCTGAATGAGGAGGAACAGGACGCACTTTGGTGAGCGAGTTTTGTCGTTCCATCGGGCTGCGCTGCCCCAGTTCCGATGCGGCGGGCCAGCTGTGGTACGGCGACGCCCTGTGCCGCGCATGCATCATGTCCTTTTCATGATTGTTGTCCGTGAGGGCAAAGCTTGCCAGTAGACTAGATGTGCGAGACATCACAGACCTGGTTCAATTTGGATTGTAAGAGCGCTCGTTTTCGGTGCTGCAGACTCTAAGACTTGCCCAGCCTTCGGGACGACTTGGCTTTGCTCTCAGCTGCAGTGCTCAAGTGAAGACAGCCAAATCCATGTGGGGCTGTTAGGTATGTTAGGTTCACAGCATTCAGGTTACGTAATAGCAAGCGAGGTGTTTTGGAGAGTGAGTCGCTAGCTGCCAGCCACAAGACTTGCGCGATGTATGACAATGCCGACAACGGGCTAAGCAATTTCCAGAAGTCTTGGACACAGCTGCTCCAGCGCAGCCTGTCAGCACCGTTTTTGTTCTGCTGATTTGCCTTTAGAAGCTTCTGCCGCTCCAGGCACCTGCTTGCATGGGGATGTAAACCGACTCCGTGAAGAGCCTCTTGGCACGTCAGACTGTTGACTGGCAGCCGATGCGGCGAGGGCAGCGAAGATGTGCGCATGCGGAGCAGTGTAACGTCACGCCTGACTCAGCAAAGCCGCGCGGGGACCTGCGCGAGGATTCATTTCCTTCGATCGGTCATTCAGCCACCCGCTCACTCACTCAATCACTGGGCTACTCACTTCGTCACTCCGGTATCACTCGCCAATCACCCATTCAGTCAGTCAGTCAATCACGCACGCGCGCGCGCTCAATCAGTCGTTCGTTCACTCACGGATAGTAGAGATCAGTACTTTCAGCATGATCTTCAGACTCAGCGCCGTCTTCATTCTCAGCATCAGAGTCATGAGGCGCAGTGTGTTCATGATATTTCATCATCGTGTTCGTGATCATCATCATCATCCTCACCACCATCATCATCGTTGTCATCATCACCATCATCAGCACAGCACCCCCCCCCCCTACCAACTACACTTGCTCCATCCGGGCTGGGCAGTGGCAGCTTCTAGGCTCCCGAATTGCGACAGGTGCAGAAGATGCAGGGGCTCAGGCTCCCTATCTGTGACAGCTGCAGAAGTTGCAGAGGCTCACTTTCCTTAACAGTCGCAGAGGATCAGGCCCCAAAACTGCGACAGCAGTTGGAGTTGCAAACTCGACGGGGAAGAAACTGCTCAACCACAGGTGGTCGGATAGTACGGAAACGTTGTAAATACCGTGCAAATCGCAAGTGCTGCCGAGGTGGTTTTAACACTCCTAAATCCTGAAGCGCAACATTTTATAAACATCAAAAACAGAGATGCCAGCTGTACGTGGAAGGAGCTCGCCAACACCCCTAAA